GAGGCATATTAAGGGCACATTCTGTGTATTTGCATATTTGTTCCTGACTTCAAAGACAATGTACAAGAAAGACAATTGAAAACGAATACTAGTAGGTGTAGTTTGACTTTAATAACTGCATTGAGCGAAGAATGTACACATATAAGGTACATGTATATATAGTAGTCTTACAGAATTAAATTCAAAACAACAGAATGTAATCTACATACAAGTCACTATTAGAATATTCTATAAGAGGTTTTAGAAACTGATTCTTACATGTGTCTCTCAGAACAATATAAATGGACCAAAATAATCAAGAACTGTGAACTTGCGAACATAGTGAATCTTGCCAATATGGGTTAATGTTGTTAATGCTAGCCACGTATATTTGTATAAATGTGTTAACGCAAACTATGACGAAATTAATAGTAAGCCTTATGAGTTTATTAGTAATGAGATGAGTAATATGAGTAATATGAGTTTCTATATTGTGTTAATGAGTTTCTATATTGAGTTTCAATGAGTACTGTTAGTTTGTAATTTAAGATTTTTAGCAATTGTACAAGGTATGCAATTCAGCCCGGTGGCTGCAAATTACTTTCAATAAACCATCTATTATTATTATTATTATTATTATAATCAAGAAAGCACATACCGGATCTTAGCTCTACATTTTGTTACTAGAATCCACTTCCAGTTATTCTACTTTTGGAGTAAAATCCTAACAGACTTCACCATTCATGTTGTTGCTATAAACTAACCCTAACACTGTTAAAGTCAGTACTTCGAACCATTCTAGACAGCTTCTCGTCTTCAAAGGGCCAAAGAACCAAATAATCAAAGGTCCCTAAGAGTCACACAAATATTACTTTTCCGGTACCTTAACTAGTTGCTACATAAAAGGGTCACACAAATTATAACTAATATGGTGCCTTACCTGCTCCTCAGATGAAAGAGCCACGTCAATTTCACCTGTACGGTGCCTTACTTGGTTGAAAAATGAAAGGGCCACGCCAATATCACCTATACGGTGCCTTACCTAGTCCCCAGATGAAAGGGCCACACAAATATTACCTGTACTGTGCCTTACCTGGTCCCCAGATGAAAGGGCCACGCCAATATCACCTGTACGGTGCCTTACCTGCTCCCCAGATGAAAGGGCCACGCCAATATCACCTGCACGGTGCCTTACCTGCTCCCCAGATAAAAGGGCCACGCCAATATCACCTGTACGGTGCCTTATCTGGTCCCCAGATGAAAGGGCCACACAAATATCACCTGTACGGTGCCTTACCTGCTCCCCAGATGAACAGGCCACGCAAATATCACCTGTACGGTGCCTTATCTGGTTCCCAGATGAAAGGGCCACGCAAATATTACCTGTATGGTTCCTAACCTGGTCCCTAGATGAAAGGGCCACGCCAATATCACCTGTACGGTGCCTTACCTGGTTCCCAGATGAAAGGGCCACGCCAATATCACCTGTACGGTGCCTTACCTGCTCCCCAGATGAAAGGGCCACACAAATATTACCTGTATGGTACCTTACCTGCTCCCCAGATGAAAGGGCCACGCCAATATCACCTGTACGGTGCCTTACCTGCTCCTCAGATTCAAGGGCCACGCCAAATATATCACCTGCTTACCTGGTCCCTACATTATGAAAGGCCCATGGAAAGTATTTCCCGTACAAAAAATGTACGGCGTTTTACTGGTTAACGTTATCTAGACTCAAGTCCCTCACGCACTCATTTAATACCTGTAAGGTTTCCAGAGCTAAGAGCCGCACAAATGACTGTTTGTGGCTTATCTGTGCGCCATAGGTAAGAGCCACCCAAGTGGAGTGATTATAGCCGTAAAGGTTGACGTTTTTTTGCCCCTGAAAGCTGTGGATAAACGCCGGCAGCCCTCCCCACCGCTAGCTATTCCTTACTGCAGCAGCTGGTACCCCGACCAATAGCAGCGTGGAGGTTTTGTAGCTTGCTGAGAAATTGACCAATCGCGTCGTGGCCGTTTTTCGTGGCCGTCCTACCATATTTTAGACCCAGTCATACCTCCCAGAGGGAATGTGGATTGCGCAAGTTGCAATATGCACGCAACCAGCAGAGGACGTCGTTACAAAGTCCAGTCAATTTCTCCAAGCAGATGTTGGGAGGGAAGGGCGTAACCTTTTCACTGCTTCAACAATGTGCTTGGAGATAAAGCCAGATAAGATCAGATAACAAGACAGCTTTAAGACTTCTGAGTAATTCCAAATGACCCGGTCATCTGAGAGTGAGGTCATCTGAGGTCGTATGAGGGGATCGGATAATGTATTGCACATATCTCTCCGTTTGCACCATCAACGTGTAGATGATTTTGCAGTCATTTTATTTTCTTTGAGGGTTATGACAACGAAGGTCATCGAAGTATGGCAGTGAGGTCACATCCTGTCAAATTTATAATGTATTGAAAGCCTCTGTGCGTTTTACAGAGAAGTCACTAGAGGTCGCCGTTCAGCAGCTACAAGCCATATTTGGATACCCAATATCCCGGATGTACAATTTTGGGGTTGCTGAGGACAGGGATCGATTTCTGGTCGTAGGGTAGAAAACCGCAGAAAATTAGCCAAAATGGTAAGTAACGGAGATTTTTGCGTGCATTTCTTGTCTGTAGATTTTTTCTTGACATTCCCAAGGGCAGCTCTGAGGGAAGGAGTGCCCATTTAGTCGAGCTATCGCCGACAAACATGCGTAACATCCTCGCTATAATCAGTGCGACAGTCTTGCATCTCCAACCCGTGAAGCTCTCGAAAATTTTCAGG